CCCCAAAACCCCAAAACCCCAAAACACTCTATTTTGAAAAACATAATACAAGAATAAAAATCTAAGTAAAATTTTAATCAATTTAAATAAATTAATAAAATGATCATTTCGAAGAACTTATACTACATTATATTTTCGTATCTTGAGACGAGTTAGATCATTTAATAAATATCCAAACTTTCTAAAAGATAGCGAGAATGGCTTTTACAATCCATATAAATAAGGAATCAGATAAATTTTGTGGTCAGCGTAAACTTGATAAAAAAAGTGAGTGAATATGATAGCTCATTAGAGTATTTACTAAAACTAGCAGGAAATGTGATCCTTAAAATCATAAATATCAAAAAATTAAATAATGTTTAATGCTAAGTCCTACATAAAATCTTGAGTAATTAGGATATGAACGAAAGAATCTCATTAGATTTCTATGATTTTACAAATATTGAAAAATTCATTCATATCTACAATCAAGCAACTATTCGAGAAATTGAATAGAAAGAGAAAAAAATGATGACTTTCAAAAAAATAGCCTTTAAAAGTAAAAATGATAGGATAACTTTAAATCAAAATGGACTTGATCTTTGGAAAATTGAAGTTCTCCTGAAAAACTCTATTTAGATTGAATTCAATAAAATCACCTTTGAAATTCCCCAAAAAGATTTATTATTCGAGGAATTCGAAGAAGAAATAGTTCAGATGATGAATAATGGCTCTAATGATGTTGAAAAAAATGTGATTTCAAAAGTATAAAATTCTAATAAAGTGTTGAACTAAACACTAATAATTAAAAGCATTTCACAGAGTAGTTACAAGTATCAATAGAATCAAATGTATTTAAGACTTAGTTAATTATTCAGAAATGTCAAAGCTTTAATCTTGGAAGACTCTAAAGATTTTTTCATCAGGTTATTAAAAAATTCAGAAATTCCGAGAATAGAACTAAGATATGTTACTTGTGAAAGTTTAGAAGATGCTTTGATCTCATCAGATTTTATAAAGAGTCAGAAAAATCTAAAGCGTTTAAAAATATAAACTTAATACTCAAGAAATCATGATAGAATGCTGCTTAGATTAAGTGATAGTATTAAAGAGTCATAAATGGATTTAGATGAATTAAACATAGAAAATTCATTTGCAAGTGCTAATATCGACTAAATCATTTTAAATGAAGAAAATA